TTAGCCAGTCACAATTTGATGGTAAATCTTGGCGAGTGACGACGTTGGTACAGAGACATCAGCTTGGAAGGCGTAGTGCATCAACGAACCAGTGCGTCAAAGGAGAAAACAGATTTGGTTAAAAGGATTAATAGGAGTAAGATCGTTCTCAAATATATACTCAAGAATGCAATTATATGTAGGTAATCTTATATTATTGAAACGAATAGAGGATATGGTGACTTTCATACGTATCCAGGACCTTTCTCATACAAATCATCTAGTCATCGTTTGGCTTAGTGTTGACCAGATGTTTGCAACAGTCAGGTGAATAATAATCATGCGTCTGAATTGTGCATAGGTAGTGCAGTTTCTAACATTCGATGGAAGTTTGTTCCATATTTCATGGCGATTCCACTTAACTTGCAAGAAGTAAGCATAAAATTTCCTTGCGAGACCCTCTGGGTTTGCTCATTATTCGCTCAAGCGCACACCACTCGTTATATCTACCACTTTTTACAATATCCACCCTTACTCAGAGCTTGACCGTGCTAGAGGATTAGCCACCGTGCCATAAACAACTGAAACCTGTTTAAAAGTATAGTTCTTTAAAAATTGAATAACCGAATTTAGAATTGTAGACTATTGTCATGGTTATAAATAGATAAATAAATAAATAGTATATTCTCCATCCTAACTAAACTCAGGAAAGTGTCCCGCCAAACAGGTAGGTGGATCAAAGGGACAGCATTGGTAGGTACTGTGCTATGATTGAGAATAAATTGGTTGGAAATTCTCAGATGGTGAAAATGGATGTCTCGCACCTAGGGATGAAAGAAAGCAGCCAGTGCGGGCAAACGCTCTCAAGCAGAGGCTTCAACGCTTTGGAACCTATCAAAAAGCAAGATGAATGTCCTAGTGCGCTTTGCCAAACTGTTTGGAAGCAAACGTCGTTTCCTGATTTTGAAGGTTATGATAAAGTTTAAACATCATATCATCCACAGTGCGGCACACTCCTATCCCTGTCAAGCACTTTCGTAGGCCTTGCGACTGGAAGTGATTGGCTTTCATATGGCCACTATAATGTATTTTGCCATTGAACCTCACGATCAAATGCCTTGGTGCATTTAGACTTTACCCGAGCAGTTTGCGACGGAAATGTTACCTGTTCAACGCAGCTGGGCATCTTTGCATGAAATTCATAGTGAACAGCTCATCCCTGGCCCGAGAGTCTAGTACACCACCATACACAACAATGTCGTACAGCACTAGATATTCTTTTCTGAAATTTAGACAATATTATCGTCGAATCCATGCGGTTTGCTTTTCAGATATTCTGTATCTCCATCTGTGCCAATCAGCATCGAGCGCTGAGGGTTCTTTAGATAAATATGTAAATAAATGATATCATCTCCAATGGACGAGGCACACTGGTTCAGGTTTTATCCTATATGCCTACAAGCGGAACTGCCTGTGATACCGTTTCCTTGGGTTTACGTGCATTCACTCACTTCTCCTTTCCTTGCATATCCATGGAAATCCGTACAGTGTTGGTCTCGGAGCTACGCCTTGCACTGCATATTACTTCTTCTCTAAGCTTCGATGACTTTCATTTTTTCCTCAAGGTCGCGGTCGTGCACCTCTATGCTTCCTTCAGTCAGGTTTGCCGGCTCCCTCTTGCAGCTCGTCAGTTGCTTCCAGGATGGAAAGTGGGCAAACTTAAGCCCATGTACAAAGGGCGTGAGCGGTAAAACCCTTTCACTTAGTTATACCTCCATGGAGAGGATTCATAAACGCTCTCCTAAATGACACTTGGAAGCGCTAAACGGCATCCCCCGCGTGTTATGCGTTTAGGGGTGCGCTGTACCACTTTTCAAATTTACTCATCGCTAAGAAATGTTTGGCAAGTGGGTAGTTGACGATAAACGTCTGTATCTTACTTTTGTTGAATTCAGCAAGCTGATTGATAGTGCCTCGATAACGGGCTCTTTTTTCAACGAGCGAGCAATAGTCCCGCCGGTAATGCTTTTCCTGGATAGCTGATTCTCTACGAAGCGTTATATTGCGTGACAATTTTCGTGCACCCCCTCTATGCAATCGTCCCGCAGATCAGCCAAACGCCACATGCTTCCGCCCAAGGCTAGGGTATGTTCAAAATCTTCATCAATGTGTTTCTGACAGCGCTTCTAGCTAGCTGTTTAATGACAATGGACAATGGTTTATTACGGGTAAAAAAGCATCGCTTAACAAGTCCCGCGGGATGGAAATTATTGCGAAAACTAATTGCATAATAAAGTGAAAAGCGTTGTGATGGACTCACCATAGACTTATGTGAAATAGCGGAGATGTTCGCGTATTAAACGTATAAATCCATAAATCCCTTGGTTAGGCGTTTGGCAAGACACCGTTTGATTGCGTTTTGTAGCCCCCGGCTAACAAGTCATAAAATGAAATGTAAGTGAGACAATGCATCGTCAACACGTTTTTTAAATATCACCAGCTTTGAGCAGCGACGACATAATTAGGGAGGGCGTTCCAAGGCTCACCCACGCGGAGAGAAAAGAAATTTCTACGGAATTCAAGCCGGCTATAATGAATTGTCAGTTTCAGAGGGTGACCTCTTAGATTAGTGTTGGGGTTCAATTCCAGCAGCGGACGGCAATTGTGGTTTGGGTTCTTCAGAATCTGATAAACCATTATGAGATCCCCCCCGCGAAAGCCGATATCGACTACTGTACATTCTTATAGATTTCAGTCTAAGCTGATAGGGCAGATGAAAGAGGCCCCTGACGTTCTTGGTTGCCCGTCGTTGAGGAGTCTCGAGAGCAACGAGATCCTGTTTCTGCCACGGCTGCCACGCCTGAATAGCATATTCCACGTGAGGTCGCACGAAGCCGTTAAGCATTTGGGAAAATATTGATGGTTCAAACCGACCGAAGGCTCTGCGAAGAAGGCCGAAGTGTTGCTTTCCGGTTCTCCTCGCCTTCTCTGCTTGTTTGGAACACCCGAGATCTTCCTGTACCAATGCACCCAGGTCACGCTCCTGAGAAACCTTCGCCAAGGTGTGGTCTCCAATCTTGTAAGCGCACACCAGCTGGTGACGCAGATGCATCACTTTGCACTTAGCCATGTTCAATTGAAGCTTGTTCCTCTTTGACCATTCGTAAATGCAATCTAGGTCATGTTGGAGCAGATCCTGATCGGACTTGTTACTGATCGCCCGCCATATCTTGACATCATCGGCGGAAAGCAGGAAGTATTAAGGAGATGACTCTTGCCAGGTCGTTGATAAACACCAGGAATAAACGCGGTCCCAGCACTGGGCCTTGCGGGACACCACATTCCACCTCAATTGGGTTAGAAAGTGATCACCTAACACGTACTTGGAGCTTTCGTTGGTAAAGGAAGTTGCCAATCTAACCAAGTACATGAGCTCCGATTCCATAACTTTGTAGCCTTTGAAGTAGGATGCGGTGATCAAGGCGGTCGAAAGCTTTGGAGAAGTCCAGATAGATGACGTCGACTCCGACCCCATCATCGGCCACTTCCGTCCAACTACCTCGTGCAATAAGTAGGTTGGTGGTGCGTAACCGGTGTTGACGGAAGCCATGCTGTTCCGGTACCAAGATGTTGCATTTTTCCAGATAGTCCATTAAAGCCTCAGCGACGACTGCTTCCATCACCTTCGCGAGCACAGGGAGGAGAGCCACTGGACGATAGTTTGCAGGATCGGAACGGCTACCGCCTTTAAAAGTAGGGGTTATAATGCCACTGAGGCTACGGTTGGAGGACACCAAGCTCAGTGGCACCGAGATTTTGCAGGCGACGCTTAATATGCCGTATGACTGGTTAGTCCAGTAAGGTTTGATTGTTAACCGCAAAAAGCGCTCTGTTCTCTTAACTGGCGCTTCTATTCCACTCGGTACCTACCACTATGTTGTATTTGAACTCACAGTGGCCAATCTACGGAATAACGCAAATGCAATCGTGCTCACTGATCTTCGAACCATACATGATACGATGATGGTCACTACAGCCAACAGCTGTTTTGATCTATAATGACGTCCTTTCCTTGGGCGTCTTTTGAGGTATTCAGACCGGTTCGTATCATATGTGTGCTCCATCCCCTATCGTGGTTTATGGTGGCACGCAGACACCACGTTCGAGTGTAATGTACGTTAAAAGTTCAGTAGCACTGTTCGAAATAACTTCCACTTCTTCGGGACTTTGATATTATTTTCTACCCCGGTACATTTATTTGCTCTCGGCTGCCGTCGTCCTTGTGTAGAGTTCACTTAAACAAAGCGCTTTCTCGGTGGATGGTACGTAATAACTCCAATTCTTCCAGTTCAACAGAAATAACTCACTACGCGGACACAGCTCAAAGCGCTTTAAACCGGGGAGACACCCTGTTTCTCCAAAGATCATATATCTACGCGTGCAGTGAACGGATGGAACCACTTACCAAAGGTTGTGATCAGTGCTACTATTGAAAAATGCGGAGGCTGTTTACTTTACCATTCCTTTATGGGTCTGAGGCTGGCTATTGTCGATGAAACTGCAAAGCAGCTGTTTGATTCGTCGGCTCTAAAACACGCATCATCCGCATACTGATCATGGAGTGCTGAAGCTTACAGGGGTTACCTCATCTGCTTCCTGTTGTACAATACAAGCACTTAGTGTATAGCAAATTCGGATGGGGTAACAACATTAGAAGTCTCACATAGTTGCTCCTTCCTGAGTGTGTCTTTGATTCACGTGCGACTGCGGTGTATGATTGGCCAGCCGCATGGACTAAATCAGTAAGTGCGGAACACGTCGTGGTCAACTAATCAAAACCCAAGCGCTCTGTGCTAGCAGTCCCTACTGCGCCGATCACTGAAATAAATACACTTAGAACTTGTTCTCTTTCTCTCATGGCTGACTAGTGCTTGCCATGAAATAACGGATAAAAGGCACACACGACGGATCATTTCGAAAATCCCCTATTGTTGTGCGTTCATTAAACCACCCTAAGTGACCTTGAATGATTGAAGGTTAGAAAGTTCAATTGTGCACCGCAGTCGGCTTGGTGAAGGCCGTTCCCCTCAAATGTGCTTCCACCCGCTGATTATACTTGATCGGTGTGTCGTTGAATAATGTCTGCACCAATTTCCAGTCTAAATAGCCTTTTTTCATTTACTTCTCCTGCTGTCAAACGGTTACTTGGATGGAAGCAGGGCGACGAGGAGGAAAAATGGGCAGAGAAGGCAGTGGACTCTCTCGTTAAAAAGCTCAAAAAGAAAAAAGGAGCTTTGGAGGCACTAGAAAGAGCTCTAAGTAACCCCGGCGAACTGTCTGAATGTGTTACGATCCCACGGTCCCTTGATGGTCGCCTTCAGGTTTCCCATCGAAAAGGATTACCACACGTAATATACTGCCGTGTCTGGCGCTGGCCCGACCTTCAAAGCCATCATGAGCTCAAACCACTTGAATGTTGCCGCTTCCCTTTCTCTGCCAAAGAAAATGAGGTTTGCATAAATCCATACCACTACAAGCGTGTAGAGAGCCCGAGTACGTTGGTACATCCGACATTCACAATGTTACTTTATATTACTTCTACCTTTTGTCACATTCAAGGTGTGTTTTGTGCGATTTCCCTTTGTTATCCGTTGCTACTGTAGGTCTCTTCTCTTAGCATTACTTATCGATCTATCTAAATGGTTGATTTGGTCCTCCGTTTAGCGGCGTTGTTTGTCTTTGGTGGTGATCTATTTGCTTTGAAAGATTTTTAACCATGAAACAGATATTTTGCGTTGAACAATGACGCTGTTCTGAGAACACAACCCATTCCTATTTGGACAAGCTCCCATAGTTTGTATGGCTCACAGAGGCGCTTTGACAACGTCCGTTTTGAACACTCCATGGTCCAATCAGCCAACATCTAGTTTGCATCTAATAAATGCCTAGTATCCGTTTCCTTTCCATCCATTCGCATCGGATGGACTCTTGCCTAAATACATTTTCCTCACAAAGTTGAATAGTTGCTCAGTAGGCGCAAGATTTGCGCACTTGCCTTGTAATCCTGGACTCAGCGATTCGAAGTTTAGATTAATTTGTCACGAGTCGTTCTACGAAGTTTGAGTATTGACCTGTTCCTTTTTCATAAGTGTCAATTTTTCTTTCTATGACCACATCTTTTGAGTAGAGTTTGCAGCTTCACTTTTATTAGCAACGATAGTAAATGATGACCCTCATTTATACACTTAAAGTACGTTTACATGTCTCTGAAAAATATTTTGTTGCATTTCCTGTTTTCTTTGCCTTTTTGTTGCACACTATGGTACAGCGATTTTGATGCTCGTAATGCCCTCAGCAATCTACGTGGCTACATAATGATCAACAGCCGCTTGTATGCAGTTCGACTTCGAACTTCTGTTTGTTTGCTAACAAGCTGTGGCCTAACTCGAGGCCCTCTAAAGGCTTGGATGTCTGCTCGTTCTCTGGAGCTGTTCGAACGCCGCATAGATATCCCTGCCGAATCAGATTGCAATGAGCGGCGCCGTTCTGCCAACCGGCTGCTCAAGCAAAGAATACGTAAGGACCGCGAGCCATGGTGGTCTAAGCGTGCTTTAGACATGGAGACCGCTGCCCTCTCTGGCAACACTCGCAGGCTTTTCCAACTCATTCGGTCCACTGGCCTCAGGAAGCATGGTGTCAGTGAGGTCATTTGTGAGGTGGATGAGTCTCTGATCACCGACCAACAGAGGCGTATGGACCGTTGGGTCGAGCACTTTCACTCGCAGTTCAACTGACCTCCACCATCCATCAGTACATGCAGTACACGTTGTTGTCCACCCTGGCTCGTCCCTCTAAATCCACCCAGCAAAGCGGAAGTCTGCCTCGAGATTCGACCCTTAAAGCGCTTAAAGGCTGCCGGCTCAGACGGACTTCCTCCGGAACTATTCAAGTACGGCGGTGTGGCGATCATTAACCAGCTGA